CACTTAGGATGGGTTAAATGCAGAGCACTAATTCCGAGTATAGGTCACCATAGGTCATTTGACAGCACTAAAAATAAACAGACTTATACTTTAGATCAGGGGTTTTCAACCTTTTAGGACATGCGCCCCCCCCAAGTTTGTCTAATTTCACTCGCGCCCCCCCAACATCCAACAACCGCCCCCCCAGTTTGTGTGCATCGGGAATCATGTTGTTTTCAACTGAAGCCAAGGTCGAACTCATTTTACGTACAGCGCTCAGTGAAAATGACAGGATTATGATCGTGGGCAAATAGTTTGAAATCATGAGTTTAAAGTGTGTGAAGCTGAACTCCTCAGTTCGTCACGCAGAAAACACACACTTCACCAGATCTCAGCTGGATTGCACCAAGTCTGCAGGGTTTGTGAAATGAAATCTTCATTAGTCATTCAAAGATCTGTTTAAATGATATAAATGCGTATTTGCTGAATGCTGACTGCAAACGAGAGAGTATTATAATGTTTGCCTTTCTATTACTAATAATATAAAAACATATATCATTATAGTACTTTTTGTGCACCTTTTAATTCCTTTGTTTAACATGCTACTCAACCGATTTGAATCGTCACATATTTGAATCGATTTTCAACCGGCTCGCGGTTAGTCATTACATCCCTAATTATAATGTTTGCCTTTCTATTACTAATAATATAAAAACATATATCATTATAGTACTTTTTGTGCACCTTTTAATTCCTTTGTTTAACATGCTATCTGATTATTAGACAGACTTCTATCTGTATTAGACAGAACTGTTAAACGACGACAGCAAACGATGAAGAGGGAGAACGTGAGCGCTGTGTGCCGTTCTCAGCGCCGTCAAAATAAAAGTCATGATAAAAAAAATGCCAAATATCGGATGATATATCGGTCGACCACTAAAAGAAACACACACACGAACAAACAACCAACCAAACATACACGCTCACACACACACACTTGTGTTTGAATTCATCAGCTGCTCACCTTCCAGTAGTCTGATTGTAAACTGTAGTACCGCTGGTACGCCGATAATGCTGCAACACAAAGACACGCGTGTTAGGAGAAGCTTGTGGTCATGTTAGTGGATCAGAACAGAAGAGCTTCTCAGCACCTTTCGGATACTCCTCCAGTAAGAGGTTGAAATGACCCAGCTGGCAGAAGAACTCGGGATCCACTTTTCCTTCAGCTTTCAGGATGAGAGACTCGTAGCAGCGAACAGCCTGTGTGAGGAACACATTCAACATTACACAAGAGAAACACATACATCACAAACAAACAAAGACTTGAAGAATACTGTGACATGTAAACACAAACCTTTATGTCTTAAGAAAACCATTACATTTTACATTTATTATTTTTGCGTTATATTCTCAGCAGAAAAGATTAGAAATTCACAAGATGTCAGCAAACCAGGAAAACAAAGACACTTCAGACAGCACTGCGAGCTCAAGGCTGACCCATCATCGGCCGGTCAGTCACTCTCAACCTCCAGTAAACAAACGAGAAATATGGTTTCTATTTCACCATCACCGTTCACCAGGACTCAGGAGAATCACGAGCCGTCAGTGATTAACCTGCTCAGATTTCCTTGTCACTCAAACACTATCTTCAGCTCCGGGAACTCCACAGATGATGTTTAGGACACGAGGTCCTCTCGTGCTGAAGACTCACATCACCGTCACTCCGAAGCATTTAATAATCGCGCTTTAACCCTCAACATCCATGAATTACAGACAGAACGTGAGGTTGAGTTAATAGTCCACTGTTTAGATTATGCCAATATCACAGATGGAGAGAATGTGTGCATTACAGCAAAAGCTATTCAAATAAACACTAGCGTTTCAATGAGGGATGCACCGAAACGAAGATTCTTGGCTGAAGCCGAACAAAATTAAACACTGGGCTGAAGGCCGAACACGGTTTTTCCAAGTTTTTTCCTCCATGTATTTTGCCAATTTATTCACCATTGCATAAATTAAATAGCCAAAATGTGCTTTTTACGGTTTTGTCTTGCTTTTCAAAGAAAAAAAATCAATTACAAAACAACAATTTAAAAATATTTAACACTGAAAAAAATTTAAATATTTTTTGGCCATTTTGAGACCCCCTTCTTCAATAAGGCATGCAATTGGCTTAAAAAAAGAAGGTAAACTGGACACTTTAAGCAGCAAATCAGAATGATTTCTGAAGATCATGTGACACTGAAGACTGGAGTAATGATGCTGAAAATACAGCTGCGCATCACAGAAATACATTAAATTTTTCTATATATTCACATACAAAACAGCTGTTTCAATCAATCAATCATTTATTTATAAAGCACCTTAAAAACCATGAAGGTATACCAAAGTAATAATTTCGTCTGCCGAACATTCGGTGCATTTCTAGTTTCAATTAGTGCACAAGAGTATGAGATACACCTGCATTTTGTTAACTAGGTTAAAACAAGCCGCTGGTGGGTAATAGACTCGGCTCCCACCGTCTGTGACCACTCGCCCTCATGCCAATCAAACCTTCATGACTTAATTTCTTCTGTACAACACAAAATAGAAGATGTTTTGAAGAATGTCGAGAACTAGACAACAAAAACACATTGACTTCTCATACAAACCAAAACACTTCAAAACACTGTGTTCCACAGACAAAAAGTCATAATGGTTTGAACAACACGAGGGTGAGTGAAGGATGACAGAACGATCATTTTTGGGTGAACTGTCCCTTTAAGCAGTGAATATGAACGTGACATAAAACGAGTGCTTCACCTACAAACGCACGTTCAAGCCCCGCTAAACACCAAACCGGCCCGCTTCAGACAGCACGTCTCCGACGGCCGAGCTGCGTTAAACAAGCAATAACAGTCTCAAACCCGCAGTAATGAGAGATTGGTGGAGGACGACGCCGGTCACGTGGTTTAGCGTCTGTATAAAGAGCTCCATACGGCTGTTATTCTGGTTCTGCTCAGCACAGACACGAGAAAGCGTTGACGAACTACATATCAAACAATGATATAAAGCATGCTCTTCAAAACTAATGAGAATCAGGAGCGCAAACAAAATATAGATCATAAATGCAAAAAAGTTGCGGAGTATCCACTGAACGCAAACAGCGCATGCTATTCTGTGTCAGCCACACCACACGGTTCAAACATTATTAAAGAGACAGTAAAAATAAGAACAAATACACAAATCACAAGCATAGATAAATACAACAGAACAATGTTACAAATAAAATAAGGTCGTAGTATTCAGGGACAGAAATGTAATAATTAGCCTAAGTGTAAAATAACACTGCATAGTGTTCACTGTATAAATTTGACAGATTTATCTGTCAAAAACATGTCTGGTATTTATAGGCTGCTGCCCCTTTAAGAGCTGATGCACGGATCCAATATAATGATACACATCCGATTTCTTTCTCAGCTGTTAGTTCACTTGAGACATAACTGACTGCATTTACCAGAATGATTGTCGAGATCGAGATTTTGTCAGTTTTGTGTGTATATGCGTCTGTTTAAAGGCAATGAGTGAAGGAGATATAGAAGAAGGCTCATACACGCTTCATGTGTGTGCGTCTGTGAACATAGAAAGCAACACGCGAGTAACGAATCGAGTTCCCTTTCGCTGGAGTGTGTAAACAAGTACAATTGATAAACTTTCACTATTATGGTAAAATTTTGCAATGAGTCCGCGGATCACATGCGTGCCGAATCGTACGGATCAGCTACGATCCGTTCAACCACTAGTTTGAGCATGAAAACCTCACATTTCATGCAGTTCAGACATAAACCCAACACACAGGAGCATCACTGCGTTTCTCTCGCTGATCGCTCCGCATTCATTGATCAGTCCAACACATATTAACATGGAAATGCAATTCAGATCAAGAGACGCAAGAAGTCTGTTAAAATAAACAACAGTGACGACACAATGCTAAAAGCTGCCACAGATGCTTCACCTCCATCTGGACGACATTCTAGTGAACTACAAATCAGCTCAACTGTACAGAAATGTAATAATTAGCCTAAGTGTAAAATAACACTGCATAGTGTTCACTGTATAAATTTGACAGATTTATCTGTCAAAAACATGTCTGGTATTTATAGGCTGCTGCCCCTTTAAGAGCTGATGCACGGATCCAATATAATGATACACATCCGATTTCTTTCTCAGCTGTTAGTTCACTTGAGACATAACTGACTGCATTTACCTGAATGATTGTCGAGATCGAGATTTTGTCAGTTTTGTGTGTATATGCGTCTGTTTAAAGGCAATGAGTGAAGGAGATATAGAAGAAGGCTCATACACGCTTCATGTGTGTGCGTCTGTGAACATAGAAAGCAACACGCGAGTAACGAATCGAGTTCCCTTTCGCTGGAGTGTGTAAACAAGTACAATTGATAAACTTTCACTATTATGGTAAAATTTTGCAATGAGTCCGCGGATCACATGCGTGCCGAATCGTACGGATCAGCTACGATCCGTTCAACCACTAGTTTGAGCATGAAAACCTCACATTTCATGCAGTTCAGACATAAACCCAACACACAGGAGCATCACTGCGTTTCTCTCGCTGATCGCTCCGCATTCATTGATCAGTCCAACACATATTAACATGGAAATGCAATTCAGATCAAGAGACGCAAGAAGTCTGTTAAAATAAACAACAGTGACGACACAATGCTAAAAGCTGCCACAGATGCTTCACCTCCATCTGGACGACATTCTAGTGAACTACAAATCAGCTCAACTGTGTTTCACTCACAGCGCAAACATTCAGTCAAATACCAGACCCAAAACAACCACTCCAATTACATTAATTAATATAAAGACCGCAGACAGAACCATGTCAGGATGGGAAAGCAACACCTGACAACACGCTCAATACGATGATCGATCCAGAAACTATCATTCTGTCATCGTTTACAAAAGATGATATTTTGATGAATGTTTAAACTGTTTTTGTCCAGACAATGCAAAACAACACTGGACCTCATGGACCACCTTTATTGTATGGAGAAAGAAAACGAGACATTTTTCAAAATATCTTCTTTTGACTTCCACTGAAGTCAAGTCACCTTTATTTATAAAGCGCTTTTAACAATACAGATTGTGTCGAAGCAGCTTTACAGTAATAAACAGAAAAACTAGTGAGTAATAATGCAAAACAGTAAACACGCAGTTTTCAGTTAAAGTCAGTTCATCAGTGATTCAGCGATGTCATCGTCTAGCAATCAAATTGACTATATCGCTGGAAATTAAGTGAATGAAAGAGTGTCACAGGAGAGTATTTTTTATTATAAAGCGGATAGTTCCGATCCTTGATTCTGATTGGCTGAGCCGCGTTCGAAGCTGTTGTAAATGACTCTACAAAGTAACATACACCTTTGTTTACGTTTGTCTGTTGCTCGGCAACCACTTTGTAGCAACCACAACTGTTTCTGAGGAACTACATTGTTTGGTGGAAGAATACTGTTTTTATTAATATCATTACACTTTATTTGCTCTGTTTTATTTTGTGAAACCTTACTACGTATATGGAATAACCGTTTTATAAAAGCAATAAGCCCCGAGAAGCCGTGGTTTACAGTACATTTATAACAGCTAAGAATGTTTTAGACTCCGCTTCACGTCATACTTAACAATGCTGCTTAGCTGTTATAAATTCACTGTAAACGAGTGTCTCACACGTCCTGAAAAGTGAAGCTGCGGGCTCATTGATCGCCCCCTACAAATCTCTACTGCGCAGACTCGGGCTCCAAACTAATCTCTACTGCGCAGACTCAGGCTCCAAATGACGTCATTTACTGAAGATGGCAGAGGCCATACTGAGATGCTTTGGCTTCCCTTTTCTATAGTGGAAGGAATAGGAGACGCGTCGTCCATCTTTTTTTACAGTCTATGACTGTAAACCACGGCTTCACAGGGCTTATTGCTTTAGTGAACTATCCCATCAATGGTGTTAATCCTGACACCAATTACCAGAGGTCAGGGGTCGTGTGTATAAAAGCAGATACACCATATAAAGGACGACAGCAGAACTACAAGCATTACATCTATCAAATCCACCAGATACATGCAGGTCTATGGCTGTGCGTAAAGGACAGAAAGTGTCTATAGAGACATCGCTCCAGCTCTGTGTGAACTCGACAGGGTTTCTAACTGAACCAGGAGTCTGGAATCAGCTGCAGACAGCACTCGGTCTTTGTCCACTCTCTAGTGTTCACTACAGCTCGCTGCTGGACTGCACAACAACACAGGGAGGTGTTCTCACAGGACGCCGGTTACCCACAAGCCTTCGCGGGGCTCGGAATGGAAGGCAGAAGCAATGCTAGCTGCGCTTTCTGCAGCGTTATTCGCGTCTCTTTCTGCATTATAACGCGGTAGCTCTCACTCCTCCCCACCCCGCCATCTTGGGCCGACCCAAGCAGCCATTACCACCGAACACAAATCACCGTCTCCGAGTAAACCTGAGCGCGATCTGACGCGGTTGATGAACGCGACGACCAGCTCAGCCCTCAATCACTGAGGGAAATAAAGCCTTAAATCTTACAGTGATCTGAGGCGCTGTCTGACACCCGCATGTCCACAAACAAGCTACAGAATAAACACACACACACAGACGCGCGGCTAACGCTAGGAACGCGCCGCGTTTACCCATGTTTGTGAAGCCAGCGAATCGAGCCCGAGCGACGCTCGTGTAATCGCAGGGCAGAACCGCGGTTAAGCTCCGCGTCAAATCGAGCGCGTTAGCTGAACGGTTAGCCGCGCAGCTCTGAGGAGAAAATAAGGACGCGTCGCCGCTCGGAAACCCTGGCCCTCGCTGTCATTTCGCACCGCATGTGTGCGTCGCAAAGCGTTGATTTAAACGCGCATCTTTACCTTTACGAGCAGGGCCTTCATGCTGGCGCCATCTTCATGAAGCCGCTGGTATCCGAACAGAGAGCTGCGAACGAGAGAAACACACACACACACACACACGGGGTTTGGGATCAACTCACACATCTCACTCAGAAACAATGAAAAGCAGCAGCCAAAAGACGCCCGCGGCTCCGACCTGTCGACGCGGGCCAGAGCGTCGCTCTCCTGCGCGCTCAGCCGCGGTGAGTCCTCCTCGGGTTCGCTCGCTTTTCCCGCCGCCATTTTCTTCTCCTCATCACCAGCGGCGCTGAGGCGGCGAGCGGCGGCGACGGAGAGCGTCACTCGGCACGATTTCATGGAATCGCGCCGCGAAATCGAGGGAAGGCGAGCTCCGTGCGTCCAAAAGCCACAATAAACGCGAACTTTTTCTCCAGTGAAACGCGCCTCAGAGTCTGAACCCCCGTGCGAAGTGAGCTGGCCCTCCAGCGGCGCGTCGTCTCACATTGTTTTGCAGGAATAAACTGTGACGCGGCGGCTCAGTGTTGATGCGTGACGTGCGGCCCTGCACACTTAAAAACGCGGAACGTATTCAAACAATCTCAAAGTTGTGTTGCTAGCGGATTAAAGTTGTTGTAATTGTGTCACACAGGCGAACCCACGCCGTCGCCACGCCCTCCCGGGCCCGACAGCCAATCGCTGCGCAGAACGCGAGCGCGTCACTGGCCTCGTCCCAAAATGTTGTGCTCCAGTCCTTTCGGTAATTTTGTTTCCTGTAACAATCGCTCGAGTGCGCGACGCGAAACGCCCGAGCGTTTGACGCGATGCGTGGGAAAGTTCGACGGCGCAGACGCGATTCCCTCAAACAGAGGATTGCGGGCGGCTCGTTTGCGTTGTTATGAAATGCAAATAAAGAGGCGTGGTTTTCACAAAATGGGGAAATTGGACTGACAGCCGTGCAGCTGAGGCCCAATGCTTTCGCTGTTGTTCCTTTGAACACAGTATCACTCACAGTTACAGATGCACTGCAGTCTTTATTACTAATGTCAGCCGTCTCCTTTAAGAAGCGCGCTCGTTTATTCAGTGCTGTGCGTTTGCTATGAAATGCAATGAAGACATGAATCTTCATATGAGAATCAAATGAAGAAATACAAACCGCTTGTATTCAGAACGAACATTTCAGCTCAAACGCGTGTTTAAGCACACGAGATACACACATCTGTGTTTGTGTGTGTTATGGATATGAAATCGCAGGATTATAACCGGACATACTGTATAATGTTTGAAACACTGACGTGGCTGTAGGCGGCGCTCGCAGCTGTCAACATCACCTGACGCCGTGACGTCACACGCAGCACCCAAAATGGCGGAACAACAACACAGCAGAGGTGAGCGGGTCTACCGTCACGTTTATGAGAATAAAATCAAGTCTTTATCGCCGTTATTGCGCTCTAACGTCAGCTGCAGCACCGAGGACTGCGTGTGTCACTCAGAGCCCGTTAAATGAAGCGACACTCGTAGATTCTGCTGCTTTCTTAAACACAAAAACGGAGAATAATGAGCTCGCTTCAGTTTTGTCAGTGTCTCCTTCAAACAGCAGCTGACTGACGTTAGTTCTGTTGGCTGACATGTCCTGGTCACATTTCACCTAAAATCATCTTATCAAGCATTGAGAGTTTTTATAAGGGTAATATTGTAGTCAAAATATAACAGCCATATACAGTTAAAGGAATTTTTGTTATGAACTACGGCAACGCTCCATGAATGTAACTTAATACTTAAGTTTGCTTGAGATGTGGGTTTGGTTCTGGCATCTGATTAGAGCTGTAACGCTACACAAACATCACACGGTTCGGTACAGCAGGGGGAAAACTAAACATAACATTGCTTTTTTTATAATTAAACAGTGGTTTACTGAACAAATGGCTCTTTCTTTAAAGGAGACATATTATGCCCCTTTTTTTACAATATGTGGTGTCCCCAGAATGTGTCTGTGAAGTTTCAGCTCAAAATACACATTTATTATATCATTTTGAAAATGCCTATTTTGAGTTGGTAGATGCACCGGGGACCTGATTATAGCACTTACAACCTGGAAACGTCAGATTCTCATGATATGTCACCTTTAAATAAATTCAATTATAATTAATTTTCTCAGGATAAAAATCTACCTCAGCTTATGCTCTGAACCATAGAGAGCCCTTTTACATTACTATAAAATTACAATTAACAACAGAGCCCAAACTTAAATTCAATTACTATTTTTTCTAAATATAATAAACACTCAACTTAAAATTGTATGCAAATGTGTAAATTGCACAATGCAGTTTTTAAATTAACTTCTTAATTATACAGTTTCTATTTGTTGTTGAAATATAATCATTTACACAGTGGCTGTCGTAACTTGTTTCATAAAAGGTTTATTTAAATATACATTAAATGGTTAAGACATCACTAACAGGTAAAGTAAAATATAATGAGTGTATAGTCTAATATTTCTCAAAATGCTCATTTCTCGAGCAAATAACGATCTGTTGGACACTGATGACTTGCCTGAGGGAAATTAAATGCTGCGTGACATTCTGTTTACAAGCTGTTTTAAAACTAGACTATGACTTTAGCCGGATTAAGGTAATCAAAAATCCCTGTTTACATGGTAGATTCTTAATCAGAGTATTGTCTTAACCGTGTTAAAATCAGAATATTGTTGGATGTGAACGCACTCGAAGTCGAAGTAAACACAAATCGAATTAAGACATGTGGAGTATTCCTATTTTAGTCGCACTATCCCTATGATCAGCTGTTGGTGTGTTCAGGAGCGGACGATGAAGACGAGGCGTACGAGATGCTGGATCTGACCGCACACGCTCGGACGCAGCAGTGGTGGAGCGCCGTGTTCGGGAGCAGCTCCGGCCCCATCGCAGAGAAACACTCCGTGGCCACTCAGATCATGACGGGTGGAGCGGCGGGCTGGTGCTCTTACAAACCTTCCTTAGGCCTGGGGAATAAATCAGTGCATCGCGAATACAGAAACGACTCAGATCATCCGAATGCATGGCGATTCTTTCTCGAGTCAGAACCTTCCTTAGGCCTGGGGAATAAATCAGTGCATCGCGAATACAGAAACGACTCTGAGATCATCCGAATGCATGGCGATTCTTTCTCGAGTCAGTTCTGAGCTTAGTTTTGAAAAGCAGATGGCGCTGCATGCTTTAGAAACATAGACTGTATAAAAACATAATCCACCTGTCACTCAAGTGGCCACGCCCTTAATTATGCAGAACTTTAAGGCTTAATATAATTTAAACGGATGAGTTATAAAAAAATTCACCCCCCTCACAGTTGTCATGAAGGGCAAAATTAGCTATATAAACCAAAACCACTTTATGTACCAGGCTGTAAACATGTTTTTTTTCTAATGTAAAGTTGAAATTTTATAAAATAAAAATTTTAACATGGGGAGTCTATGGGACTGACTCCTTTTTTGGAGCCAGCCTCTAGCGGCCAGTCGATGAATTACAGTTTTAGTCACTTCCGTGTTGGTTTCACGAGAGAGAGCGGAAGAATTCCGATTGGTTAGAAATAGCCGTACTCTGCTTGTTTCCGAATCCTTACACACACTTGAATCTAAAATAATCATTCATAAAATTCAAGGTTGAAGCGAATCACAAAGGTGTTGACAGTGGGCTGTGTTTACATTAATCTGGCGTCATAAAAGCATTCTGAGCCGAGGTGAAATTACAGACTCAGCCGAACACACAAGCGCTCTTCAGCTCTTCTTCATGAGTGTGTGGATAAAAACTAGAGTAGAGCGCCATCTGCTGTTAATATAAGCTCAGAATCCATTCCAGAGAGAATGGTGATGCATTGGGAAGATCTCTGAATCAAATTTGCATTGATTTATCTTCGCAGCCCTACTCTTCTTCATGATCAGTTAATAAACCTCTTACTTTGGCTGTAATGTAGTTGTGCTGAAGCGTGTTTGTCTGCAGGTGTGTGGGGTATGTGTTCCAGCGCGTGGGGAAGATCGCCGCTACAGCCGTCGGAGGAGGATTTCTGCTGCTGCAGGCCAGAAACAACAACTGCACAACAAACCATTCGCTGTTCATCATGTTATTGTGGCACAATGTGACTTTAAAGGATTTGTTGTCTTGCAGATAGCCAATCACAGCGGCTACGTCCAAGTCGACTGGAAGAAAGTGGAGAAAGACGTTAACAAAGCAAAGAGACGTCTGAAGAAAAACACCAACAAAGCCGCACCTGAGATCAACACGTTTATCGAGGAGGTAAAGACACTTTATAATCGTATCAATGAATGTGAATCCTTCAAATGACTAGGACTTTCATTATAGAAATAAATCTAAGACTTTATAGATTTCCTTTGCTTCAGAAGTCAGTTTAGTCTTTTTTTAATGTAGTTCAACACCATACAGGAGTGATATAATTCATTTGCGCAGCAGCTCTGAAGCGGTTTTCTGCGAGCAGCAGCGCCCTCTGTTGGTTAGGAGGAGATATACCTCATTAACCATGTTTTTCAGGCCACTGAATTTGTGAAGAAAAACATTGTGGTTTCAAGTGGATTTGTGGGTGGCTTCCTGCTTGGCCTGGCCTCTTGAGCTGATGCTGTGAAGAGCGTCTTCCCATCATGCACCTGAAGATAGGCTGGCCTGTACACCCATTAACCAGTCAGTTCTTCACTCACGTAGTGTTTGATGATATAGAGGAGAAAGTGATCTTATTCTTTACAGAACTGTGCTCTTTACACCGAGAGTCTGTCTAAAACACTGGGATGCTTATGCTTATCACCTCTGAAAACATTATTATTCTCTGCTAATGCTTGTACAGGTTTTGTGTTCTTGGTGAAGTTACGGTTGTATTTTCATGTTTGGTAAATCTTTGGGATGTCATGTGTTGTTTACTTTCCTCTTTACGGTCAGCCGGCAGATTTATGTTTGTTCACTCGCGGTTTCTTTATGGGGAACGTTTACATTGTAAATAAAAATCACTTCTGATTCAACTTTTTGACATCTTGACTTTAAGATCAGCAGTATTTTATGATGAAATATCACTGCAGTTATTGTAAAGCGCATTAATTTGCTCCAGATGTTGTAATGTTCCTCCAGGCTTGTGGTGGAGCTGTAACCGGGGTCAGAGGGCACTGGAGGCCGAACTCACGGAGAAGTAAACAGAACATGTGTTTATCCATTCAGTGCATTTTACAATTACTAATATTTAAAAAAGCATTGTTTGCAGCCATTGTTTTTAAAGCAGAATGAGCAGTTCAGTCTTGTGTTATCAGTAATTGTAATACTTCACTTGCATTGGCCCTGTATTTCTCTCTCTTCCTCAATCATTTTACTTTTCGCATTTTGCGGTCTTTCATCTCTCCTTTATTATTCATGGTATAATGTTTTGATGCTATCTTCACGGCTGGCATGCAATCATTCACAATACAAACCTTTTCATCTGAAGAATACTGAAAGCTGAATATACAGAATGTCATCACATATTGTTGTATTCAATACAAATAATTTAAAGGGGTCATATGAACAATTGAAATCGCATCATATGACCCCTTTAATAAATACTTTTAAAGTATATTGCTTTTATGTACTCTAGAAATTACTAATTTGTTCTATGGAAAATATGATTTTATCTGTACTCAATGCGCAGAGGTGGACAGTAGTGAAGTATTTTTACTGAACTCAAGTAAATGTAATCTGTATCTGTACTTTATCAGTGTTTTTCTTTGGAATCTGTATCTGATGTTGGACATACACTGGACCTATATTGCGTTATGCTTGGCACATATTGCCGAATATCTTGTCCTTCAGGACGGACTCTGCTGCCTGAACACGAGTTCCTTCACAAGCAGACACTTCCAGAACCTTCTCTGCGGTGGGATCTCCACACGACCGGCCCATCACAACAGTGAACACACACTTAAAGGGTTAGTTCACACAAAAATGAAAATTAGCCCGTGTTTTACTCCCCCTCAAGCCATCCTCAGTGTATACGACTCTTCTTTCAGACGAATCCAGTCAGAGTTACATTAAAACTGGTCCTGCTCTTCTAAACTCAATCATTGCATTAGGCGGGTGTTTCTGTTCTGTTTAACAGTCCAAAACACGTTAAATAAAGCGCGCGCATCTGTAATAAAACATGCCTCACACGGCTCCGGGGCATGATTAAAGGCCTCCTGCAGCGAATCCATGCATTTCTGCAAGAAAAATATCCATATTTTAAATGTAATAAACTCTTTTCTCCCACTTCTGCTGTCTGTCTATGCAGAAGCGTTCCGGCGGATGACTACAGATTATAGAAATCAAACTACACAAATTTAAACGTCACCAAAGAAACATGTAGCCATGTAATAACAATGAGCAATAACAGCAGGGTTTTAGGATTCAATCACATAAGATGCAAAGACGCCAGAGCAGTTTCTGTATTTGCAATTTCCAACTTTAATTTGGTAAAATCATACAATAAACACATTTTATTTTTCGTGAAGTGCACAGCCGCTAAACTAGTACATAAAGCAAATACTCTAACTCTAAGGGCTCCGGTGATGTTCTTTCACATGATCTGGTCAATTAAAAGCCTCTCACTTCATGCTTTCAACACTTCACTCATTACTGCTTCTGTAATTAAGACTGAATGTTCAGCCAAACCTGTCAGAGAACACCAGCGCCAGAGCCCAATATGCAAATGCAACAATAGAGAATAACCACATGTTTTTGTTACTTAAGATTGCCGTGTGCCAGACATTCACTGGGGGTACAAATGAAAATAAAATATATATTGGAAAAAAACAAACAAAAACAAATAAGAACTGGATAATCTGAACACTGCACTGATACACATTTACAAAAATATTTCGAACTTATTCCAAACCTTGGCATGGTTGTTTATCGTTCAAATTTCGGCTGCCAATTCAGAGTTTGCCTGAACGGATCGATTCGTTTAGTTTGTAACGAACGTAAAAGCCTGCTGCAGAAATCGGTTCGAAAATCTCCTTGACCAAAAAACAAGAACACTAGCATGCGGATTTCTTCAGAGACGAGCTGGGCTTTCTGGGCTCGTCCGCTCTGACCTCGTGGTCCTAGAGAAGCCATTCCAACTCTGCACTGCGGAAGCTGCCACAAGCCCACCGTTCATCGACTGGATTTCAAAGGAAGAAAAAGATAAATCCAATTGCTAACTGCACGACGGTTCAAGAGAAAAAAAAAAAAAAAAAAGAAGTTAATCCAACACCGGCTAAACAGCTAGCATGTGGTACTGAACTAGCGGCCTCTACGGTTCGGTTATGAAGCGGAGCGGCGGGAGGCAGACACGGTTCGTCACAACATCGAAATTTAAAATAATATACTGGAATGGCTTGGTTTCTTTCTCAGTAGACTACCGTTTCTCTCTTATTGATGCCTCTCCAGGATAGAGTGAGCAAGATCTTTTCCTTCCAACATTCAATATTTTTCACCCCCTTGTGATAGTTTTACCACACAAGAGACCTCAAGCCAATCGAGGGGGTCAGGCCCCGCGACACCAGCACTGGTGACCCCATACAAAATTTCAGTTCAAAATGAGGTTGTGACAGACCATCCCAGACTTTGCCAAGGTTTGATTACATCCAAGCTTTTGTTATACCATCCAAACAAATCTTTCGAGCGGGGAGAAAAGAAAAAAAAAAAAGAAAGAAAAAAAAAGAGGGGAAAACAACTGTCAGCCAGACATTTAAAAAGGAGAATGGAAAACAAACAAAACGCAGCGAGTCTAAATGTAAAGGCACAGTACATTAACAAACAAATGATTCTCATTTAGTATAAAGAAATGAGATGTAGTGGAAAACTAGAGTCCAAGAATCTAAAGCAAACGTCAGCCTCCGTTCCCCCTTCGGCACGAGAGCGTGTCCTGCTACAGTCAAACCTCCAGAAATCCCGGCATCCCCGAGTCCCACGGAGCTCAAGCTTCTCCGGATGTGGTCAGAGAATCACAGCTGGTAATGTACTGCAAAGTTCTTCAAAGCTACACAGGGTATACAGTCTGGCTATGGTACATGTGGTTTCCATTCAGTGAGTTTGGCATGGTGATCCACTGTCATCGTGGGGAGTGAAGAGGTGAAGGAAAGAGTCTTAGTTTCCCCACCAGTCCACCTGCGAATAGTTTCCTCCGTAGCCATCACTGCTGTAGAAGTTACCAAAGCCACCTGAGGACCAGAAACACCAGGTGAGTTACTCAAGAACTGTGTTGTCATGCAGCTAAAGTGGAAAATATCTTCGAAAGCAGCCAATCAAGAAAAGCCACCAAGGCCTCTTCCCCCAATGAGGGCGTTGTTCCCGAGCGAAACCGACCCTTACCCCCGCCAAATCCACGGTTTCCTCCGTGACCGCCGGTGTTACGGCCGCCGCGACTCCCGAAGCCTCCGCCGCTGGTGCTGCTGCTGGTCTGACGGTAGTCTCTGGCACCAAAACCACCAGAAAACCTGAAAAACACCAAACCGGTTTAACAGGGTGCCCAGGGGACGATGGTGAAAGCAAAAGGCTTGGGGAAAACGCTTCACCTCTTGGAGCGCCCGCGGCTGCTGCTCTTGTGCTGGTGCTCATAGGCCAGGCTCTCCAGCCAGGACGGGACTTCCTGTTTGGCCTCCACCACGATGTCCAGCAGATCCTTGGTGATGTTGCTATTCTTATCATTGAAGAATGATGTGGCAAGACCTGAGACAACCCAACGAAACGACTGAATTGAGACTTGGGACGCAGCAGACGTCAACAGTAGCAGCGTTTACATGGACTCTAATAATCCGATCGTAATAGGACTAGAAGCACAATCGGAATAACAAAAAATAAAGTCACATGTAACCACGTCAATCGGACTGAATTGGCCAGATCGGTTTAAAATTTCAATCGGATTGTAAGGGGTGGTTTATTCCTTTTGTAATCCGAGCGAGAGGACCTGTAAACACTTGATCGGATTGAAAACCCGAAATACTGCGCATTAGGGCTGGGCGATAGGAGCAAAAATTCATATCTCTGTATTTTTTGGCTGATTTGTGGTATATATCTCGGTATTTTCTGGGCTTTTGTATTTGGATTACACAAATAAAGTGAATGTAACCATGTCGGCATATATTATGTGCAAAAGGGTTAAAATCACATTATAAAGCGGAGAGTTCCGGTCCTTGATTCTGATTGGCTGAGCCGGTTCGAAGCTGTTGTAAATGACTCTACAAAGTAACATACACCTTTGTTTACGTTTGTCTGTTGCTCGGCAACCACTTTGTTGCAACCACAACTGTTTCTGAGGAACTACATTGTTTGGTGGAAGAATACTGTTTTTATTAATATCATTACACTTTATTTGCTCGGTTTTATTCTGTGAAACCTGACTTGTTTTAAGCAAAAACCAACAAAATTTGGATAATATTGTCAGAAAACAAGACAAAATATCTTAAGTCGTTTTACTTGTCAAGTAAATGCATCCCGATTCAAGAATTTTTAGATATTTATACTAGAAAACAAGACAACACTAAGGAAGAAAATCATATTTTTTTGCAGTGTAAACACTACACTCAGATTCGTCAATCAGAATTAATTCATTCCGATGGAAGCAAAAAGTGTCCATGTAAACGTAGCTGCTGTCACTGCAATCATCAACACAGTCACTGCAATTACCAAGGTTTCCCACACGACCAGTTCGCCCGATGCGGTGGACGTACTCCTCGATGTCACTAGGCAGGTCAAAGTTAATGACGTGTTTCACATTGGAGATGTCCAGACCACGAGCAGCCACCTGCGGAACAAAAGAGTTTGAGACTTGCACCAAAACATACCAAAGATTAAACAAAGCAAAGAGGAAAGAAAGATGACATACAGCCGTGGCTACTAAGATGGGGCATCTCCCTGAACGGAACTGATGGAGCGCTTCCTCGCGGTCTCTCTGGGAACGGTCGCCGTGGATACTGGTGCAGGCGTAGCCCTCACGGTACAGGAAGTCCTCCAGAGCATCCGCTCCCTTCTTGGTCTCAACAAACACCAAGGTCAAAGATTCTTTACCTGTTGGATGAGATGAAGACTATCAACAACTTGCATCACGCTTCAGTACGAGGAGTAGAAGCTAATGAATGGCAACAAACAGGGAGTGACAAGCATTTGGATCTCATAGAAGTGAACTTTGCGTTAATTTCAAAAGACTACTGTAGTCGCAGCCATGTGTGCAGCCAAATTACAGCAGTCTTATGGCTTTACAATTCAACATGGCATTGGTTACATGCCACTTCATGCACAGATCCAACCGCAGGAAAGAACCACTGAAAAGGAGCATGACTACTTCCAAAGAAATATCAGGGAGAGAAAGAAAAAATAATAAATTAAGGTCAAGATCCTAACAGCATGAGAACTAGAGCTCATTTGACATGGGGAGGGAGGGGTTGGAAAACAAACAATGTTCAAGCAAAATGAAGTAGTGAGATGAGACTTACATTCGTTCCACTTCCAGTGGACAGATAAACGTTTCTACTCACCAGGTTTTTCTACGTTCTCCCCCGTAC